ACACACACAGAGAGAATGAGAGAGTGAGAGAGAGAACAGAATGATTTAAAAAGCTACAGTCGTTCCCAGGACCTCGCTCTATGGCCGGTTAAGCCTGGGCTTGGGCCTAGGCCTGCCAGCTGCAGCGTGAAAGACACCCCGGGCCCAGCGCAGGGAGCGCAGCCCACAGCTCCCCCTCACTAGGCGCCCAAGGACCCTCAAGGCGCGGGGCTCACTCTTGAAGCCCGGGAGCGCGCAGACAGGAAACCCACTTCCTCCTAAGCAGTTTCTTGCTCGCTGGTTGAGAGGCGCCCAATTGAAGCAGAATGATCCTCATCTACTAATATACAGCGTGGTCACAATGCAACTGGCCATTTGCGCCGCCACTTTAAACAAAGATATTTGGTTATTCCCGGGAAAGCAAGTGCACTTTTGCATGGCTGAGCTCTGGGCAGAGGCGAGCCCCAGCCCAACCTTTTGCCGCTGTGCCGTTGTCGCCCCGGGATTTGTCCCCTCCAGGCCAGCCAGGGCTCGGGCTCGGTTCCGCAACAGGCGGGCTGCACCGGCCCCCACCCCCACCCCGGCTCCCTGCCCGTGCCCCTTCCTGAAGCACCAGAGGGGACAACAGCCTGGCAGAGGGGCTTGGGTACTGGGTCTGTGATGTCCTTGGAAAGTCAGGTCCAGACCTCTAATCCCGCGTCTCCAGGCAATGGGCGAGGGTCGGGGACACCAGGTTTGTGTAAGGTGGGGTCACTTCACTGATGGCCCCTCCTGTTAGTCGCCCCAGTTCTGCCAGCGCCAGAGGACAGTGGTGCACTTGCCCGGGTCCGGTGTGAGGGTGGGGAGGAGAAGCCGCATGTGTGTTGAGGGGGGAGAAATGCGGGGGGGCCTGGCCCTCCCTGAGAAGCCCCTCAGCCGTGGGGGGGCGCAGAGCCCCGGGACAGCCTCTCGACGACAGCGGATCCCCTGCTCGGCGCCCCCTCCGCCCGCGCAGATTCTCTCGGGTAGGGGGAAAGGGGGCGGGGAGCAGAGGGTGTCCCTCTGACGGCGGCAGAAGAGGCAGACGGACTGACAGACCCGCAGACCAACGGTGCGGCCCCAGGGCTCGTCCCCAGGCTCTGAGGCTCATTTGGTGGCGGCTGGGGCTCCGCGCTGCGCAGCCCGATGTGGTCCGGAGGCGGTGGGAAGGCGCGGGGCTGGGAGGCCGCGGCGGGAGGGAGGAGCAGCCCCGGCAGGCTCAGGTGAAACCCCAACCCCATCCCGTCCCCACGCCCCCTCCCCCTTGAAGATCCTCGCCCACCCGAGGAACCCCGACCAAAGCCCAAATCGGAAAGTGGCTCCACTTTGTAACTCTGCAAGTTGGTTGCAAAGCATCATTCACCTTCTGCCTCCCCGTCATCCCTCCCCTTCGGCTACTCCCCACCCCACCTCCTGCCCTCCCCGCTCTCGGTCCCCTCCTCTTTCCCCTCCTCTGTCCTCCCCCCTCGCCGCCGTGGGCACCCCACAAAAATTGGGGGTAGGGGATCCCGGGGGAGGGGAGACAAATGCTTCGGGTGTCGTGTCTCTGCCTCTCCTTCTATCTCTCTTTGAGACCTGAAAAATTCTGACAAGTGAAACTTAAAGGTGTTTACCTTGTCATCAGCATGTAAGCTAATTATCTCGGGCAAGATGTAGGCTTCTATTGTCTTGTTGCTTTAGAGCTTACGCCCCGCCTCTGGTGGCTGCCTAAAACCTGGCGCCGGGCTAAAACAAACGCGAGGCAGCCCCCGAGCCTCCACTCAAGCCAATTAAGGCGGACTCGGTCCACTCCGTTACGTGTACATCCAACAAGATCGGCGCTAAGGTAACACCAGAATATTTGGCAAAGGGAGAGAAAAAAAAGCAGCGAGGCTTCGCCTTCCCCCTCTCCCTTTTTTTTCCTCCTCTTCCTTCCTCCTCCAGCCGCCGCCGAATCATGTCGATGAGTCCAAAGCACACGACTCCGTTCTCAGTGTCTGACATCTTGAGTCCCCTGGAGGAAAGCTACAAGAAAGTGGGCATGGAGGGCGGCGGCCTCGGGGCTCCGCTGGCGGCGTACAGGCAGGGCCAGGCGCCGGCCGCGGCCATGCAGCAGCACGCCGTGGGCCACCACGGCGCCGTCACCGCCGCCTACCACATGACGGCGGCGGGGGTGCCCCAGCTGTCGCACTCCGCCGTGGGGGGCTACTGCAACGGCAACCTGGGCAACATGAGCGAGCTGCCTCCGTACCAGGACACCATGCGGAACAGCGCCTCGGGCCCCGGATGGTACGGCGCCAACCCCGACCCGCGCTTCCCCGCCAGTAAGTCAGGCCGCCCCTGCGCGGGGCCGCGGGCCGGGCGCGGGGGTCGTGGGAACCGCTGCTGGGGGCGCCGCGCTGGCCGACGGCCATCCGGGTGGGCTGCTAGGCAGCGGCGCGCCGGAGCAACCAAGTTCTTCCCCTGGCCGGACTGAGGGTCCAGGAGGAGGCGCTTGCAAGGGCACACAGGTGCTTGAAGCCAGCGGTGGCCATGCGGACGGGGCGCGCGGAGGCGCGGCCTGGCGGGGCGGACGGTATCCTGAACTCGCAAGGGGAGCCTGGCTAGTGCGCCCTGCAGTGGGGTCTGGGCGGGTGAGAGCGCGCGTGACACCGGAGGGGCCTCTAAGCGGGCGGAGCGGGTGCCCGCACTGAGGCTGACAGGCGACAGTGTCGGAGGGTTTGCACTGACCCAAGGGTAACCTCCCCCCTTCTGAGAGCTTCCAGACCTGGGGTCTCTCGACGGTCCCCAGCTCTCTGCCCGGGGCCCAGTCGCTGCCTCGCCAAGCCACACCGTGACTCGGTCTGCGCACAAAAGGAGCAGGACAGGCCTTTTCCCTCTGTGATTTTTGGGTCAAGCACTTGAGACCGAGAGGGTGACCCCGGCCAGGGGCCAGGGCTGAGACGGGACGCTCCCCCCTAAGTTCCTCGAAACACGGCCTCAGCCAGGCGCTGGCGATGCCTGGCGACGGGGCCTCTCCGGGCGGAGCGCGTGGCGGCCGGGAGAAGGAGGCGCCGTCGGGGCGGGCCGGGGGGCTGAGGGCGCACAGGGCAGTGGCGGCCTGGCCCGGCCCGGCCCCGGCCCGACGCTGTGCGTTTGTCGCTTACAGTCTCCCGCTTCATGGGCCCGGCGAGCGGCATGAACATGAGCGGCATGGGAGGCCTGGGATCGCTGGGGGACGTGAGCAAGAACATGGCCCCGCTGCCGAGTGCGCCCCGCCGGAAGCGCCGCGTGCTCTTCTCGCAGGCGCAGGTGTACGAGCTGGAGCGGCGCTTCAAGCAGCAGAAGTACCTGTCGGCGCCCGAGCGCGAGCACCTGGCCAGCATGATCCACCTGACGCCCACGCAGGTCAAGATCTGGTTCCAGAACCACCGCTACAAGATGAAGCGCCAGGCCAAGGACAAGGCGGCCCAGCAGCAACTGCAGCAGGACAGCGGGGGCGGCGGGGGCGGCGGGGG